TCCATATTCCAGTGAGCACGATCAAACAAAATCTCTCGAACAACAATATGCTTTGAGACCAAATTAATGTGGAGGAAAATGCAGAAATTCGGCGGATTGACTTCTAGATTCTCAAAGGCAAACCCGGGATTAGCCCGACTAGGTAGGAAGGATACCGCGAGGGAAATTGTAAGACCCGTACCTACCTAGATCACTTCAACTTGGTCGCGAAAATCGCGCGGTTAGGGCGCTAATCCTTACGGGCCTCCAACCATCGAACGCTTCCCACCCACCGCGAGATGTGGTGAGATCAGCGTGCAGTGATGTAGAGATCAGCGTGCTCTCTCAAACGACGTTCTCTCTCGCGTGTTTTGACCTCTCTGATCGCCCTGTCTTGCCGTCGTACCACATCCGACCTTTTTGAAGGTTAAGGCCTTAAGTTCAGCGTTCCCAAAGAGTTCTCTCGCTTCCCTCTCCACTTTGGGGTCGCTCCGCAGCTAAGCTATCACTGCGAAGCGCTCTTAGCACGTTTAATTCCGGAGTTTGCCTTTAGTGGAAAATTCAGGCAGATAGGGCTTCTATTCTATTTCGAAGCTTTCCAGGACAATTTAGCATATGCTATGAAGCACTGGTCTTGTAGATTTCAAAGATTTTTACCGGTTTTTATTATACCAATTTCGAAAAACCTTATAGGCGTTTGAAGGATGAAACTCGCGTTTCGTGATGGCAAAAAAATACAGAGGTAAAAATGGAAACAACGGAACCATTTTTGAGAAGTTGGTTGCTCCAGAAGCGTTTAAGTATTTTGTGTCTAAAGTTTTCGTTTGTTTCGTAGCTTGTAGTTAGCTGTGTAGATCTACAAAAACTTGATTATAACGGAAGTTATGGACGTTTAATTGAATGATGAAAACTTACATGCTCTCACAATCGGATCACAAATCCCCGAAAAGCGCCACAACAGGGGAATGATTCTTGGACAAGATCTGGTGCTTTTCAAAAGCTCAATTTTTTTTAAGATCTGCAAAAATTTGATTACGGAGGAAGTTATGAACGTTCGAATGTTGAAAACTCGATACACAAAAATGGAACGACGAGACGAAGAATTGAACTTTTATGAGGGACTGACCATTTGCAAAAGTTATGTACTTACTTAATGCTTAAATTAATAATTTAAGTTTGATACTTCTTGAGAAGTAAACAAGTTGAACTTACGAAATTTTCGTATCCTATCTCATAAGAACACATTTGGAGAAAGACAACCATTTAAATGGTTGGTAACTACGTCGATGTATGAACCGTTCAGTTTTTTCTTTATGAAAAAGGAAAAATTCGGTAGTCTGGTGAAAGTAGAATTATTCGCGATAACAAACTTACCTATGTTCATATGAAATGTTAGAATGTAGTGTAGGATGGATTCGTGGCTGCGACGTGGGAGTAACCCTTTCAAACTGCGCTAGAGACAAGTAGAAAGGAAGGTTTATTTAGATCAAAAATCAACAATAAATATACAAACAACAAAGATCACGGGGCGATCGGAGGCGGGTTGTATCGATGGGACCGGACTACCGAGCCGAGGTCGGCAACCAGGTGCACGGCGCAATCCCTTCTCTATGGTGAGCCACAAAGGCTATCTCCACCGAGCCACTAAGGCTCTTCCCAACTGGCCACTGAGGCCAAATCACCGAGCCACTAAGGCTTCTCACTCACGGCCACTAAGGCCAGCTATCTGAGCCACTGAGGCTCCACTAACAAGCCACTGAGGCTGTCACTCTTCAGCCACTAAGGCTACCTGACTGAGCCTGGGCCCTCTTTCTTACGGGCCGTACAGCTCACAACCAACTACACACTAAGGCACCACACAGATGCCACCGGAACACTGGAACGCTGGAATCTGGAACACCGGAGCTCTGGAACTGGAACTGGAGATACTACAAAGGAACCCGGACCCCTTTTATTGGGACCTTCCCGCGCCAATCAGTTGCCTCTGGCAAGGCGGTCTCCCATGACCACCCACGATCAACAACCACCGCCTCCTCCTTGACCTACCGTGCTCAGATCAGCTGATCATAGCTGATCTCTTAAGGCATGCATGTCTCTCCCTGACAAGAAGCTCAATGAGTAAGATTTCATGGTGTCTCAACGTCCGTCCTGATAAAAGGAGGTCGTACTAATACTCACTGAAAGCGGAGTCGTAAAATTATGAAATCTGCGCAACGCACGGTTGACCCTGGCCCGTAAGCTTACGTCAAGGTAATTTTTTTCACGATTATTCCTAAAGGGAAAGGTCCATGCGTCATCCTAGGAGGCGAGAGGAACTCGAAAGAAATAGGTTTATGTAGCCTGCACTCTTGCCTATCCGGAAATGAGGTCGAAAAGGCTTCAGCTCAGGCCACGCAGCGTTACCGTAACTTTGGCGCAATAACAGATGAATTGTTTTTCTCCGAAGCACATAACGGGTTTATTACGTGCGAGTTATTTAGGAACACTCAGTCATTTTCTGTTCCTCTGTGTCCTCTTACTGAGATATGTACATGGCTACTAGTTTACAGAAAACTTCAATCATGATGAGTACGACCTGAGACCGTACACTTCAACTCTTGTCAAATGGTGTGTTGCTTACCAATCCCTGGAATCCGTCCTCCATAAGGATTATCTATAAGGATTACAGTGAAACCCTTACCAATCTCCTTAACCCTTATTGTTAGACTACGACCTTTTTT